ATAGATAGATAGATAGATAGATAGATAGATAGATAGATAGATAGAGAGATAGAGATATATATAGATAGATAGATAGATAGATAGATAGATAGATAGATAGATAGATAGATAGATAGATAGATAGATAGAGAGAGAGAGATGCGGGTGAGGTTTTAAAATTAGACAGACAGACACACACGTACCACATGTGCATTCATACGTCTTTCATTGTTGACATAGTCACAACGTGCATCATGTGATTTTCTTTGTTGATATTGGTGATTCGATTATGCTTCTGGTGTGTTGATTGACCATGGTCTGGTGAAGCTATTATATGCGTGTGTGATTGTGAGTGTATGGGTGTGTGTGTGTGTGTGTGTGTGTGTGTGTGTGTGTGTGTGTGTTTCCCACCACCGCATGACGCTCACCCACCGCACTCCAGTTTGTTCATCGCCTTGGAGGCCAAATCATGAATGACACACAACCACACAAACACTGAATGAAGTTCAAACTGTTCAATTGACAGTCGAATGGGAGTCCAATGTAATTTTCGCAAAAAAACTCTCATATTTGAACATGTTGGAGTGCGAGTTCAACGCGAAAAAAAAAAAAAAAAAAAAAAAACCTTTTTTTTCGGACATTTTTCGGTTTATCCGAAATTCCGGATAAACAGGGGGCCGGATAATGCGGCCGGATATTCCGGTCACTTAATCCGGCCGGAATTGATAAACAACCCAGGATATAACGGTCAACCGCTGAGTCTGAATCTGGCCATAGATGAGGATCCATGGCCTAGAAAAAGACCCAACAATCACTTGAAACTTGTCACATCAGAAATAAAAGAAGAAGAAAAAAATGAGAGAAAAATTGATGGAGAATGAAACAAGTAGGGAGAAAAAAGTGGAGGAGAATGTGCCGGCCTATTGAGACTGGCACAATAGGGACTGGCGGGTACCTACTGTGACCTCATCCCTCCAGATTTAGTGGAGGGCAATCCGGATTGCAGCGATATGACCCTTGGGGCATTATCTCTTCAAAATTTGAATAAAAAAATTTTTTTGGGAGAAAATGGAAAAGGAAAATGACTGTTTTTTTTTTGGGCCATGGATCTGAGATTTAGATCCATAGAGAAGGGAATATGGCCGTTTTTTATGAGATCAACTCAAACGGCCAACTCCTGAATGAGTTGGCAATCCAAAATGGAAAGAAACAAAAGAAGGAGAAACACAAAACTGTGCATTTGGCCCCAACAGTGGGCCAGATGCACCAAAAATTGAAAAGATGAGCTTTTGGGATCAAATTTGAAGCAAGGATCACCAAGGGGTAGCTCGGAATATTGCTGGTCTTGGATCTCATCCAGATCCAAGGCTAAAATAACACCGAGGCATGGGAAAATACCTCGGTCTACCAAAAATGAGGTAGAAATTGAAAAAATCGAGAAAAAGGTCCTCCATGCCATTTTCTCTCAAGTAGGGCTGCCCCTTGGGCATATGGACTCTTGGGGGCAACATTGTGAAAAGGAAAAGGAGGCTGAAGGAGGCCAAGAGGCAATCCAAGTTGGTACCAACCACTCAGACTACATGTATTTGGCTAAAATGAGTCCCATGTACACCCGGAGGGACCTAATGGTGGGTTTTTGCCTTGGGGGTACCTCGGTTCACTTGGAGGCACAAGGGGAGGCTCATGGGTTGGCCGACACTTCAGTTTCAGCCTACATAAACTGAGGGAGCCGCACGCCACCCTCACATTGAGGAGTGCCCATACTGCCCAAGTGAGCTCATAGAAACACTTATCTCATTTGGAGCGAGGCGAGGAGAATCCCTGTCAGTTTGGAAGCTTAGAGGAGACTGTGAACGAGTGTGAGGAGTCCTAGAGGCTGGTGGTAGTGAGGGAGGCCTAGGAAGGTGATCCGCCATAGCCCTTAGGCTGTGAGGAAGAAGGAAAGGCTAGAAGGAGTCCCATTAGCCCTCCCAGAGGGAAGGACTCCATAGCCATAGTGATAGGAGCTTGCCATCTTCAGAAAGCAACTGAGGAGGAGGGATGAGAAGGGTTTGACGAAGAAGGGAGTCATAGCCAAGTGAAGGAGAAAGCATCATCAAGATTGATACTTCAACTCCAAGATTCTAAAGAAGGTGAGTGGAAAGAAGGAGAATTTTCTTCTTCTTCTTTTTCTTCTTCTTCTTCGTTGTCTTCTCCTTCTTCTTCTTCTTCTTCCTTCTTTTTTTTTTTTTTTTTTTTTTTTTTTTTTTTTTTTTTTTTTTTTCAAGTGATGAATTAAGGATTCCATGGATTGTTTCATTTGAAAGCGTGAAGGAGGACAAAGTTTACTATCATCCGCTTTGATCATGCCACTAGGCATTTGATTCAAGCATTGGACAATGATTCGAAGACTTTGTCGCATTTCTTCAATGCGGACACAATAACGGTCTTCTTCTACTTCTTCCTCCTCCTCTCCTCTTCCTTCCTCCCCTTCCTCTTCTCCTACTCCTCCATATTCCCTCCTTTCCTTTTTTTGTTCTTCTTCCTCATCTTTCCTCTCTCCATAGACATTTTCCAAAGCTTAGAGTAGTCAGTAGGAGACTTTTTCACTAGTAATGGTCTCCCCATCGGCTCGTCCTACACTTCCATGTAAATCATCACTTTTCATTTTGTGATTTCATGCATGCTCGCGTAACAATCTCTCCATTTCTTCACTTAGTAGCAAATTGCAACTTTTGTTTGTGCTCATGCTAGTGTTTTGATGATCTTTCACTCTTGTTTAGCCCATTCCTCCACTTCCATATGAATCGTCACTTTTTATCTTGTAATTTACTAATTTCATGCATGACCTCACTTTTTCTCCATTTCTTCACTTAGTAGCAAATCACAACTTTTGTTTATGCTCATCCTAGTGTTTTGACAATCTTTCACTCTTGTTTAATCCATTCCTTCACTCCCATGTGAATCGTCACTTTCCATCTTATGATTTAATGCATGAGAGTGAGTTTCACCCACTTTCCCCTCGCGTTTTCTCCATTTCTTCACCTAGTAGCGAATCGCAACTTTTATTGGCGCTCATCCTAGTGTTTTGATGATCTTTCACTCTTGTTTAACCCATTCCTTCACTCTCATGTGAATCGCCACTTTCTATTTTGTGATTTTATGCATGCCTCCACTTTCTCTCAATTTCTTCACTTAGTAGCAAATAGCAACTTTCATTTGTGCTCATCCTACTGTTTTGATGATCTTTCAGTCTTGTTTAGTCCATTCCTTCACTCCCATGTGAATCGCTACTTTCAATTTTGTGATTTCATACATAAGAGTGAAATTCACTCACTCTCCCCTCACATTTTCTCAATTTTTTCAATTAGTAGCAAATCGCAACTTTTGTGTATGCTCATCCTCTTGTTTTGATGATCTTTCACTCTTTCTAAGTTCATTCCTTCACTCTCATGTGAATCGCAAGTTTCGATCTTGTGATTTCATGAAACTCAGTTTCCCCTCACTTTTTGTTCACTTCTGCACTTAGTAGCAAATCGTAACTCTTGTTTTTGCTCATCCTCGTATTTTGATGATCTTTCACTCTTGTTTAGTTTATTCCTTCACTCCCATGAGGATCGCTTATTTCCATCTTGTGATTTCATGCATGAGGGTGAGTTTCACTCAATCTCCTCTCACTTTTTTTTCCATTTATTCACCTAGTAGCAAATCGCAACTTTTTTTTGTGCTCATCCTAGTGTTTTGATGATCTTTCACTCTTGTTTAGTCCATTCCTTTACTCTCATGTGAATCGCCACTTTCGATTTTGTGATTTCATATTTACTCACTCTCCTCTTACTTTTTCGCCACTTCTTCACTTAGTAGCAAATCACAACTCTTGTTTGTGGTCATTCTAGTGTTTTTAGGATCCTACACTCTTGATTCGTCAATTTCATACATTTGTTTATAGTTCGATTTATCCTTGGCTATTCCACTGGTCACATGCATGTGTTCTCACTAGTCACATTCTTGCTTTGTGCATTTCATACACTTCGTGATATTCCGATTCATCCTTGGTTATTCCGCTAGTCATATCCATGCGTTTTCACTAGTCATACTCTCGCTTTGTACATTTCATACACTTGGTGATAGTCTGGTTCATCCTTGGCCGTTCCAGTGGTCATATGCATGTGATCTCACTAGTTACACTCTTGCTTTGTGTATTTCATACCCTTGGTGATATTCCGATTTATCATTGGTTGTTCTTCTGACCATATGCTTGTATTTTCACTAGTCAAACTCTTGCTTTGTGCATTTCGTACACTTAGTGATAGTCCGATTCATCCTTGGTTGTTCCACTAGTCATATGCATGTGTTCTCACTAGTCACACTCTTGCTTTGTCCATTTCATACACTTGAAGATAATCCGATTCATCTTTGGTTCTTTCACTAGTCATATGCATGTGTTCTCACAAATCACACTCTTGCTTTGTCCATTTCATACACTTGGTGATAGTCCAGTTCATCCTTGGTTGTTCCACTAGTCTTATGCATGTGTTCTCACTACTCACACTCTTGCTTTGTCCATTTCATACACTTGGTGATAGTCTGATTCATCCTTTGTTGTTCCACTAGTCATATGCATGTGTTCTCACTAGTCAGACTCTTGCTTTGTCAATTTCATACACTTGGTGGTAGTTCGATTCAACCTTGGTTGTTCCACTAAGTATATGCACGTGTTCTCACTAGTCGCACTCTTGCTTTGTCCATTTGATACACTTGGTGATAGTCCAATTCATCGTTGGCTATTCCAGTAGTCATATGCATGTGTTCTCACTAGTCACACTCTTGCTTTGTCCATTTCATACACTCGATGATAGTTCGATTCATTCTTGGTTGTTCCACT